ATGCAACTATCACGTTGGGGGGGGAGAGAGATCGTCGCCGCACCTAACAAGCATATAGCTAACGGCGTCCGCGAGAATTGCCACTGGCGATTCTCACCAATGAGGCTGCGATTGCTCGCATGTGCTATCGGTGTTAGACAGCTCCAGCCCTATCAGCTCCCTAGCTGAAACAAGCAGCTTGCATTTGTTGCTATGCAGGTTAGATTGAGCTGGAGGGGACCCTAGGTCACCTTCATGTAAGGGTCGTGTATTCTCAATCATACAGTAGCTATACGTATGCTATAGGAGGATTGCGCACTAATACTTTTGCGAAGTAGCTAATATAATAGGTAATCCGAAGATTGCTTAAATTAGGTAAGTAATGTCGCAGTAGGAAGAAGAAACACAACATGTCGTTACTATTACTGCGAGGATTAATTGACAAAGGCGGTATTAAGAGAGGGTTAAAAAAATAGAAAGACGCTAAAAAGTTACGATATTAATCATGATGAGAAGAAGAGGAGGGTGGAGGAGTCGATAAAAGATACAAATCGGGAAAAGAAACTACATGAATACATGAATATCAGATCATGTCCTTGATTATTCATCCCTGATGCATCCAATGATAGGTCGAATGATCAATAAGGTTTGTTTCAGAAGTATGTACAAATGAAATAGGAATGTACTAATCGATGTATGTAATACATACCGGATGTATAAATCATTGAATGATGTATACAAATGTATATGCACCACGCTAGATTTGTATGCATTGATCTATATACAAAGCATAGCTGACATAATATTACAGTACATATATGTAATTGGGTATTAGACAAAATTGTGGGACTGTGCGTCCCCAAATAAGGTTACTTAATCCTCAATCCCACATTTCCTTCTAGATCATTTCCACCGATTCCTCTTTTTCTTCCCTTTAAAAGAAGCTTACGTAAACTTCCTGGAGACCTCGTGGCATTGGGGGCTCAGGATTGGCTGCTAACCATCGAGAAAAATCCCGAATCCAATCGGGAAGGATTTCATTGACCAAAAACGTTCACATGGGGTACCCAAGCAACATTTGCCCCAATCAACTGTGTCACCAGAATTACGGTCACAGTTCCCACGCCGCTGTCCTGGAACACTAGCAATGTATCCCTTCCCAATCACTCGGAAATGTCTGGCAGCCAGCCACGAGATGCCAATGTTTAACATTCAACGTCTAATACCCGCCACTCGTATACGCCTTTAACTACTAATATTAAACATGAGGAGTGAACACAAATGAACCTGAACATGGACTTTCTGACAAATGCAGGATCTCAAAGCCGTCCGTCTCACCATTGCCGCGACTCTCAAAAATACTAAAATACTAACATACGATCATTCTCCAATGGTCAGCCTCTAACGATAGCTAGGTGCATATAGTTGGTCCGGCTTAGGAAGGAGGTGGGTTGTAAAGAAGGGTGAAGGAAGCTAAGAAGAAAAGAAATCAACCAGTCTCAAACAGTCTGTAGGCGCGCTTCATACTCAACCTTGTATTGATTGCGTCGATGTCTGCTCAGCTGCCGGTCGGGTCCTCCAATTCGGATTGGACTGATTAGACGCCGACGACTTGTCTCAGCCATTGTTATTGTCTTTCTTTACCAACATATCCTTGAACCTGCTTTTGGGGCGAGGATCATGCTTGTCCCAAGGATGCCAACATAATATCATGCATCTCCGTCTATTATCCGATTTGGAGCCCCAAAAGCAGGCTATATAGATGCTTGCTGAAGGTTGACGACGAAGAAAACAATGTAGAGTTGCAATCACAAGACCAGGTATCTGATTGGAGCAAGGACAAACAATCGAATATCTTTCGCCATCATAGAGGCCTTCCCCTCTTCGCTAGTCACTATTCTAACGGCTAACTATGACTACTGTAAGTGGAACAACTGCGGCACTAAAGCTTGCTTGTGATTGAGATAGTTACATTTCTGAAGCCGAAAGAAGAGGGGGGGCCAAGGACAATTAGTACATAGTGCGGCCGGGCTTCGTTGATATGTACATTAGTAGCCCGTCGGTTGCTAAATAGGGCACGAGCTTGAGTTACCCGTCCCATTCACATCCCGCGACGTCGTCTTAGTGCAAGACGCCTTTCCCTTTAGGAGTTGAGCTTCTATGTCACGGTTTACAAACGCTTATTTTTTTTTCTTGTTTTCACCGTTCTTCTAGCATACAAGCGTTAGCGTCACGGCGGTATTCAATAGAGCGGTGGGGGGAAGAAGTAGTGGCTTCGTAGGTCCCTACTAAAATCACAACGCCGTCTTTCTGAGCGGGCCGTTGTGGAAGGATTCACAAGGTTTATGGCGTACAGGGCGCTGGTGTTCATCAACAATCTACGCCGCGGCAATTGTAATTTTATCCGCCCATTCCGTCATCGTAGACTATTCATCATTATACAACAATATCGTCTTGGTTGCTCGTTGAAGGATGTCTCCAAATAGGCGCGCTCACAGGCGCTTTTTTAGCGGCGATATCACTTTATTCTGCAAATGATCCGGTATACTAACCCACAGACTGACCAAACCTGATAATTCGGATAGGTTGGTCTCAAACACCGCAGCCTGCAACGGGGTTAGTTACTTGTTTCTAGAATACCGGCACAAAAGCCTCCCGGAGATACTGACCAGTCAACAGGTCCGATGAACGATGGGCATAGAGGTACGGCCGGAACTATGGGATTTCGTTCTGCAGGCCGACTGGGTCTCCCAAGAGGGTGGCGTTGCTACATTCAGCATTGAGCAGCATCGGCCACCCACACGTGGGTACGAAAATAGAAGACAGTAATTTCGATTTCATAAAGAACCTGGGTCGTCAGAGAATGTGGGCTTCGGATAAGGCATTAGCCACGGCTGGGCTGGATAAGCATGTTTCGGATGAGATGGGGCTGGCAAAATGGGTCTCCTAGTTGGAGAGCAACAAGACGCAGGAGGTTTAAGGTCGCATCGTGTTAGGTATACTTTTAGATTGTCGACTGTTTTGACTATATCGACCATTTACTAAGAATACTTCCTTCATAGCAATGTACCTTGCGCATACGAAATATTGAAAAAAACGGTGTTAGCCTCTTTTGTCTACCTTTCCCCGACTCTCCCCTAACAGCTAAGAGAGCGTCAGAGAGGCACAGACACCCGTCAACCCCTTGTCGATCCCGTACCTTCTGCGCCGTAGCTCTAGAGCCCGATACGGTAGCTAGATAACTTTTGAGAGTAGATAATTCTGGCACCTGGTAGATCCTTATAATGCACAATGTTGGTTCAGGCAGTCGAAATAGGAAAAAACAATCGACATGATTTGATGTCTGTCAACTAAACTTCTTACATAACGGCCAGTCGCAAATGGCGAAACACTACCACACAACGATACGACTATTATTAAGATCCATAGCCATCTCTAGCTCGTGGCTTTAACGATAGATTAACTACAAATCATACAGCAGGAAACTCCTTATCAGCTAATTAAGTATAGATATAAATGGTTCCAATCTCAATAAGCTAGAAATTGCGGAATCCTGTTCGTGAGTATTTGACTGACGACTCCAATATGACATACATTAGGGTGTGTTTGGTCTGTACACAAAGATACAAGAATAGTGGCAGAGTGGTAAGCTCAAGTCGCGAAGGTTGCTAAGTCGTAAAAAGTTTAATGAGCAAGAACAATAATAGAAAAAAAAAGTACCCCCTGCTAACAGCCACCCACATGTATGTACCACTTGTACCATCTGTACCATGGTTTATGAATTTTATGATTTTAAATGTACTCCTCCAAGAGCTTGGGGTATGTCTAAGAATAGCCAGGCGAACTTGCGACTAATTAGACGCCAGCGCTTGTCATGTACTAGACACCCCTGCTTACATACGCAAGCTAGCCAAGAAATACACTTATTTTGACAGTAACATGGTGACATTCGAAAGTACCTACTTGCCAAAGGAGGGTAGGAGGGTTCGACTTGCATCTGCCGCCTGCGTCACTCCACTAATAGGGTAAGGTCGCGGTACAATATACTTTCGAGTCCGACAAGGGCTAGGGATGACAGGGATGCGCATCCTATGTATACCTCGTGCAATTTACAGGGCCTTTTTTCTTTCTCTTTTACAACATTACAACACTCAAACCTTCGCACACATCGGTTCACTAGTGGCTTGCCTCGATGTAACTCAACGCACCTCAGCTACCCTCATCGAACATTTCTTCTGTTCTTCTCTCATTCCAAATCCGTCCCTGGGACAGGCCTATACCATGCGCGCTGTTTCATTCTCAATTCCTACGACGACCTAACAGTTGACGTGCTGCGGATCTCTGATCCAGTCAAGCCAGTCAATCTAGACAATCTGGTCAGATTTCGGTCCCTGAAAGCTGTTGCCATGCTTTGCCATGCCTTGTTATGCCTGTTATGCCATGCGGCCGGCCGCATCTTATGGCCAAGGTCGAACAAATTATGAGATGAGGACAGCATCCTTCTCCTACATCGCGAAGAAGAAGAGGAAAAAGATCTATCATCGTCGGTCCCGGCTTTATGTAGCCTTAACAACGGGATTTGGACTCCGTGCGAGTCCAACACATACCCTAGAACTGCTAAAATTCATCAAGACTCATACAAGTTCCGTAAGTCCCGTGTACTACCGTCTAAACGTCATTTTTCTAGTCCCTTTAAAACTCGACATATGGACTTTTTCAACTTGCACGATCATACTATACCCTGGGCAGTGGGCACCCTCGCGTTTCCTAAATGCCGACTGATCAATGTTATTCACGATGGCTGTTGCCTTGCTCGCTCGCTCGTCTATTGCGCGAGAAGACCCTTGCAGGTATCTGCATGGTGTGCCGTATAATACGCGCCATACAGTATGAATCAGTGAAAGCCCCACGGTACTTAACGAACGGGAGCGAGATTTGAAGGTATGGATAAGGCAGGTCAACTACTAAGAAACAAGTCGCAGAATGCTAGCACTGCCTGCTCACGTCTCCGCGAAGAAACGCAAAAGCCACCCTCCCCCCCGTGCCGACCCTGTCGCGCTTCTTTTTAACTACACCCCATGGCACTAACGGGACCGTAGTCGTGAGCCTATCCCCAGTCTCGGACTACACTATGGAGCTCTTACACGCCTTTGGCGCAACTTACGTAGCATGCGAATGTCACTGAGCCCACTCCCTCTTTCTCTACGCTACTTATGTTATAGATGCCAGGTACCAAGCAACCAAAGTCTCCCCTGTCATCAGAGCAGCCCATCTTGACCCTGACGAGTTGTCTGGGATCAATTGCTGGGTGCCTTGTCGAACCGAACATGATCAAAGCAATCGATCGCTGGGGTGAGTGCCTCTCTCATAATAGCAAGAAGACTGAGGTTGCTAGAGCCTACCTGAACTGCTATTGTCTTTACTGCATTTGTACCTTCGATGCTATCTCGCATTCACTGCACTTCCTGACCCCCGCTCTTCTCGCCACCACCCTGTCTATCTGTTTTTTCTATCTCTCCGTCTTTCCTCATGTACACAGGTACTTACATACATAAGTGTGTGTATAAGAGTGCGTGTATCTATCGAACCCCGGTCCCATATCATTATACCTACGAAAGTAGACTGGTGAAGAATGATCCACACTGGATAGGATAGGCCAGGTACTTCTATACATCACCCATGTCTTTGCAGTAAGGCCGTCATGGTCCCACCCCACACCCACCTCTCTCAACCCTGCCAGGCCCTAACTTTACGTCGTACCCGCCTTTTGAGTTGTCTACCCATGTAATAGGTACTAGCACGCTCTTCCCTGCGGCGTCGACTGCGAGATGTACTCCACGGTACACTTCCTCGAGACGAACAAGGGGTGCTTTCGTTTCCTTGCCCACCATACATACGTAAGGTCGAAGCCGGTCGTGCTCCACAGGGTACTGCCTCTGATAAATTTAAAAGCACTTCGAGTTCCTCTTGCCTCCTGCCTTCACAACCAGTGAGGCTGAGATTTCTCAAATACAAAACGCTTACATTACATAGCTGTACAAAAATCTTCCTTTACGAGTAGTTCTCACACTCGTCTTTGCCGAACAGCTTGGTCTTGATTATTCTTATAAGTCTCACGGACCGCCATCCCATCCTGCTGCCAGACGATCGATAGCCATACCGATCCTGTCAGCGTACACTTTAAATATTGTACGTATATATTCCTTTTTACTTCCAATAGCTCCTGGCTACAGATATTTCTTGAAATCACGATGGACCGCCGCTCTCTATTAGAACGAGATTCCAAAGACTCTTACTTACACCTACCTAGGTCAAGAGATAGCAGCCCATCCTCGACAACAGGAGGATTTCGCAACTTGGACATTACCGATTCACCTCATAGTCGACCAGCATCTTCACAAGGGACTCAGCCGCCACCTTATATAAATCGCGTCCCTCATCGCTCTACGCCATTTTTACCAAGCCACACCTCTCACCCAACTTTGCCCTCACAGGGTCCCTTGGATACTGAGTGGAGCCAGAGACAAGCACAGTCTCAGAACACTCCCTCATTGCGTGTAAATCCAGCGCGAGATTCACATTCTTCATCCTCTTTACCACCCCCACATACCTCCACAATGAGGTGAGTTATGACTTATGCGCCAATCAATTTAGGACTCGAGCTCATAATAAGTAGCACCGTAGCTGTGGCTTTCGACCCCAGAATGGAGATGGGCATTCCCCGCTCCTCATACACTTGGCCAGGTTTGGATTCAGGGCCGGATCTATTGGGTCATGAATTGGGCTCCGTTCACGGTTCCGATGCGAGCATGACTCCTCCGAGCGGTTCTAGGTCTTTAACCTCCAGCCCGCCCCGATTCACATTGACGCCCGAACAACGTGAACTTAAAAGGCAGCGCGACCAAGCCCGCCGAGATTCGAAATCGACAGTCCGAGCGCGCCGCGCCATGAGCACTTACTCGTCCGCCTCCCAATCTCCCCCAGTTTCGATGCACGAATTTTCTGCCGCATCCCCGGTGCCAGTGTATTCGACAGCGCCTTCGCAAATCTCTCTCTTGGCGGAACCCGCGACAACCATGGCGGGCTCGTATATGCCTTCTTACTCTACATCGCCCATTCCCGATCACGGCAGCCCAGGAATGTTCCCTCAATTTTCTTCGATGTGAGTTTTTTTGATGACGCCACCTAAACCTCCAATGCTGACGATCGACATGGTAGGCCACCCAGCGATTACTTGGGCTTGAGCTACTCACCGGGTTACCCCCCACCACCTTCCGCCCACAGCTTATCTTCACAATACAGGTTCGTACAACAATATGCGTTTTTGAACGCGAAACGCAAGTTTTCTAACATACATCATAGCCGACCCTCACCTCCGATGTCTGATGCTGGAATCATGTACCCTGTTCAGGCTCCCCCAGTCCTTTCTTCTGGTGGCGCAGGGCAAGAAGCCGGCCACGTTCGTGTCGTCCAAAGCCGACCCAAGCCGCAGTGCTGGGAGCACGGTTGCAACGGCCGCCAATTCTCGACCTTCAGCAACTTATTAAGACACCAACGTGAAAAATCTGGACAAGCAGCTAAGGCTACCTGCCCTAACTGCGGCGCTGAGTTCACAAGGACTACTGTATGTTTAGATTCTCGTCAATTCATTAAAACATCAACTAACTCATGAAATAGGCTCGCAATGGTCACTTACTTCACGACAAGTGCAAGCAAAGACGAAACTCATAAAAATTTTGTACAATAAAAATAAAAATTTCTACGATATTCTACGATGGATAGGACGATAGGGAGCTAAGGGCAAAACGATTAGGGGTTATGAGTATTTGAAGCGGGATATGGATTTTAGACGACAGCTCTACCGGCATTCAAAACATTCGGACATGTTTTATTATTATAACTTTTGGGTTGGATGGAGTATATATGGGATTAAGGACATCGGGGATTGACGAGCTTTTGGATATGGCGTGGAAGATTAAGCATATACCCCCTTTTTCATTTCTACCTTCTTAGCTCGACTTTTTTTCGATCAAAGATTTTTGACACTGTAAATTTTTTGGAATCAACGGAATTAAGGTTTATCTGTTCACTCAAACATATTTTGACACTTGTGCTGTTTTGGTGATATTCGCTTGCCCCCCTCGTCCAGTGATAAACTGTATGTCTCAACTTGCCAGCGTCAAATCTTAGTCTCCTGACGGTCGTATATGTGTGCTCGGGACCGAGACGGTTATCAAGATTCACATCGCTAAAACATGCCCGACATGGGGTGGCCCGCTGGCGTATAATCAATACAACCTACACGCCTATACGTACGTAGTATGCGCAGCTATGTAGGTCCTATACAGATGTGTATAGGACGTACGTGGGGTCAAGTTTGGTTAGCCAAGAAGCCAAGTAGCATCGCCTCTAACTAGACGTCTATCATGACTGATCAGGTTAAGTCCAGGAGAGAGCGCTTGTCATGTCAATGCTCCTACGCCCCAGACTTAGATGATCAAAGATGATCTCGAATAATTACTAGATAAAGAGAGAGATGAGCAACATGGTTAATGACGACTACCTAGGAATAGCATAGCTGTAATAGGCTCACCTGTCTACCTACCGTAGCCAGCTAGCATACCTCCCCAGGTACCTAGGCAATAACAGGTATAGCATAGAAAAGCTGCAGCTAGCCCTGGCCGTTAGCCAGGTGGCAGCCAGGGCCTAAGGTTACAGCACATAAAATCTCATGGCCAGTCGAGCTTCCGGATCGGGGAATGCTTTATTGCGTTATAGCCTGTTCTGTACAATAGTACCTACTTACAGTTACAATGGTTCAGCTGTATTGCTATTGTACCTGGAATTACGGTTATGTCAATGTCCGCGTCAGAAGAGCTTAGGTAGCAGTCGCTCTGCAGGCCCCCTTTCAGATCGTTCGGCTGGAAATCGTCATGTTACAGACGGCACAGCAAGTTACTAGCTAACATACCTACCTTCTTAGGTATCTATCTTATCCACTTAGGGGGATCATTATGATTCTAGATGATGGAACAATTCCGCGCCCCCTACGCCTGTCAATTTCGTCAGAATGCGCCGAACTGCAATGCTGTTTCTCCCATTCGCTCTCACTCGAAATCGAAGAAAACGCCATCCGACAAGCACTCGGCCGAAACTGGGGTTTTCCACATGAGGGGAAATAATGGCTTTTTTTTTCTTTTTCTTTTTCCTGTTTTGTCTCATAATATGATGAGTCTTCTCACCTCCGCTATTAATAATCGGGCCTCGACTCGGTGGCTTTTTCGTATAGACGGCGAATAGATAGACACCTGACCTAAAAAAAAAGTTTCGCGAGCCGACGCCCACGCAGTACATACATACATACGGGGAAATACATGATAAACCAAGGAAAGGCAGATCAAGCAAGAAAGAAAATCGGCGATGTGACGAGGGTTGGGTTGGTCACCACACCTTCTTCGTACAAAAAAACGTGATACAAAGCCATGCGCCATCGTTCTGCAGCAAGTTTACCACCCAGGCCCCAGATCTTGACGCATGGGTTTTTTCAGCAGCGGGCGGTGATGGTGGGGGGAATGAGGAGAACGGGGGGAGAAAGAAGAGGAGATCGGTCGAATCGTAGCGCGAGCTCGCGTCGAGTACCTACAATAGTACTATGAATACTACTGAGTACGAAAGCGAAAGAGACCAATAGTAGACCAATAGCCAATAGTCGTTCTCGAAATACTCCATTTCAATGCTACTGTCTGCTGGAACCTGGAGGGTTCTTTTTTTTTTCTGTTGGAGAAATGAGTTGCGAGCAAGTAGGAGAGCAGGAGAGTAGCAGCACAGCCTTGAAATGAAGCGGGGGGGAAGGGGTTGGGTTGGCTGGTTGGTGGGTGGAGAGGAGAGACAGGGGGAAAGCCATGTGCCATCATCGTCCGTGTGTATGCGATGATGCCAGAAATAGAAGCAGGCTGCGAAAACTACGGCATTGGTTTGCAGATTGATTGAAAAACGACGATCCTTGCTGTATTGTCGAAAGAACATGTGCGCCGATTGTATGGTTAGTTCCTTGCAGTGCCCAGGTCCGAGGTGGTTCTTTTATCGAAAGGTTATGTAGATCACTTAAACTATTTACCGTATGGTGTTTTTATTTACGTACATGTAAATGTATCTAGTTCTAAGATAGGAATGATTTGAATGCACAAATGTGGTTGGTTGTTTACGTAGAAGAACTTTTGAACTAACAAGATGTAGATGTGGAGACCTTTACATCATCAGAAAGGATAAACTACCTAGGTACTAACCCAGCAAGAAGTGTATTCTAACCTTTGACCTTACATAATCTCAGGTCCAACATGCCTTTGATACAATATGCAGGGCTTAGCGTATAACCTAAAGGCTCCTTCCGCTGATTTGAATCCCATGTGGAGCGCCATCATATAAAGTTCAAGGGTGAATCCGTCGTGGGTTTTTTAGTGGGCATATATGTCCTGTTACCTATAGTCCACCTTGTAATATAAATAAGTCCCTGCCTCCACTTTGAGAACTTTAGTAAGGTTACGTAAGGCAAGATTAAAAGATACCTTACATAAGCGCGAAACCCGACTTTTCTCTTTCTCGTCTTTTTCTCTCCCCACAAAGATAGCGCATACATGTGGATTAAGAAGTTCGTTGGTGCATCCACATCCGAAATGGGATCAATTGAGTGCCCACGGCAAGTTTGGTTTGAAATGTACCCTACGCAGGAACCAACCTACTATAAGCTACTAAACATGGATTACCAACAAGCGTTGAATCATTAAATTCAGACCGTTAACCTACTGTATTATCTACTAGGTACATCAATTACTTGGTATACGACGCCTGTGCGGGTCGCACTATTAGACGAATTAATTGTCCATGGAAGCATGGAAGACGGACTTATGAATAATCAACTTTTTACTAACAAATCCCGAAGTCCACTTCAGCCAACGAGCTGATTCGTTTGTAACCGATAGTCCGAACTTTTATCTCCGGCAATGTCTGTGCCGTCGGCCTATCTTTTCCGCCTGTCGCATAATTTCGCACACTATATCCCGAGCATCGTCGGGACGCATTTCCGATGCTCTAAATGGAATTCCATGGGCTGTAAATTGGCATGACGACGATATCCACACGGAGTCTCCTGTTAATTTGCTCTGAAAAGCCCGAAACGGATACAGCGTTGGTACCAAAACGAATTGATTCGGCGAACAACGATTGTTCAACCGTTGCCGATGGCTCACAACATTGACTAGGCATTCACTTTTTTCTCCCTTGTAAAGATGGCGATGTCAGTCTTTCCAACCGAGAGCGAAGTCCGCGTCTCTAAAGTCCGACAACGGGATAATTATCCATTGAATCGGGTCACTGCTTACTTGATTTCGACATACTCCGGCCTCGGGTTTCACCAATTGTCCACGCAGCTTAGAGGCGTACTTTTCAACCAAACATAATATGTATGTTGATTGTTGGGGGCGCTGCACTGTTCGCCCTACAATACCGACTTATCTCTTTACCTACCGCGGAGATGTATTGTATCTTGCACTTCCTAGAAAGCCACATTAAAAACGCGCACGTTTCATTGTGTCATTCCCAGCAGGTCGGAGAATACATACCGATAACCTGTACATCGTAGCAAACAGAAGCAGCGCTATATCGAGCTAAGAGCTATAGGTAGGTGGACACCAAATGCCTGGTTTGACAAGCTGTACTACCCTTACACGACATCGGGCACTCCGCAACACCATAGACCACGACCACGGGTGCTGTGTTACGAAGCTTGGGGGCCGTGGGGTACGCACCTATCGTATGTTATTACGAGCCTCAACTGATGCCGCTGCTGGCGCGATTAGTTGAATACTTGCTCGCCGAGCTGAGTATAAAACGCTAATGGGTCATAATATTCATGATAAGACGGGGAATGAAAGTGGTACAATGATGATGATCAACGGGTACTCCCACCTTTCTCCCCCACGAAGATATCCCCAGAAGAGGAAAATGAACAATCAGAGAAGTTCATTCTAATTTTGCACCAAAACATACCAATGCATATATTTTACAGGATACCACAAGGGTTTCAACGCGACCCCTGAGCTGTAAGAAACATTTACGCGACTATCAAGATTTGTTTCGATCGGTCCCGAAGTATATAAACAGCAATATCGAGAATACCAAGAATAGGAACCGAAAAATGACGACTTTTAATACAGTAAAAGGTGTGCAGAAGAGCGATGCTACTGGTGCATCGAGCAATCTCAGGTGGATGCTAATCTCGCTCAATACATTGTAAGCTGTACGCCAAATTCCGCACTTTTTGGACTGCGCCGTACACGCGCAGCATCACTGCTTGTATTATTGACCCTCCATTGCTTCGGACAATCGAAGGTGATCTCGTCAGGGTGAATTCATGACCCATTTCTGGTGTTAATGTTCGATTGACTCTTAACAACACAATATCAACCCCTACCATCCCTCAAGTGCGTAATATCATGGCAATCCGTACCGCACCGCTCGGCAGCGAACTGTGGTCGGTTGCTTCGGGACGAATTGCGAGACCGTAGCCGAATGTCCTAATTCAGTACCAGGCACACGGCGTGCCCGCTGGCGACCAACGATACCAGACAAAGTATAGTTGCAGTGCAGGTCCTGAAACAGGTCTTGATGGGTGGTGATTACTACGCTGCAAGGACCTGAAGCTTACAGATAACCCCGGTTCAATCTTCCCCAAACCACCTGACCTACACGTGTGAAAGCTGCAGGCTGAACGTGGGAGGCGAGTGTTAACTTGACCCCGAATGTAACACAAGCAAACACGTTCTCCCCTTGATACTTGCGTCTTCTGCGCTTACTACACATATTGATCCAGAAAATCAAGTTTGAGCAGCTGTTGATCAAGTGTCCAGATACCAGCTCTAGCCAAGGCAGCTGTCGAGAACTTCATGATATGCAACGGTTCTGTGGTCCGATATGTGTGTCGAATGTTCCCCGTTCGAAAACCGAAAAAGTAGCATGCATATGCATATGTCAATAGATGTACAACCAAAGTTACATACATGCAAATCGACACAAATAGAGTATTGTGTGTGTGTGTGGTTAGGTGACATAGCCTTGACAGCTGTCTGTCGTTAGCTGCATCGGCGGAGATTTCGTAGCCAAAATTGGTAGTGTTGCTAGGTAATCCGAGTCGGACTCGCTATTCGTGTGGCCATTGAGCAGGTATTGGATGTTAGCATTCTGATACACGGGTCCTGCTGCTTGTGTCAGCCCTAGTGTTCATCTCACTTATTCAGCCGTCCTCACGGCTAACGCCTAGTTTTACGCAGTAGGGCCGTACGGCTCGCGTCTGACAGATCTACACCGTCGTACCCAGTTTCCACGATGCGGAGTGGGGGAGAGGTCTAGCATTATCAGTCAGGGGAGAGAGAATGAGAGAGATACGGTACATTCGAGTACCTTGAGGAGCCGCCGCCGTCGTAACAACGCTACTAGTGTTGCCACGATGTGTGCGTGGCCACGCTGACCGGCGGACTTTGATTGCGGGTTTCTATTCGTGGACCTCCGCCCGCACGTTACTCGCCCACATGCCACCCGCATGCAGAGCAATAGAAGCCTGTCATTCGCCAGCGCCGCAATCAACCAAAATTGCCAGCTTTTTTATTTTGCTGACCCGGAATACGTATGTATTATTGATGTATTGGTGGATGTAGGTAGGTATGTAATAGGTAGTAGTGTAAAAAAGGGGAGGGATGGTATCGGATGGTACAATCTTTCCCCTCCCTCCAAAACAAGCCCTCATATCTCTGAAATCTGGACGAGTTTAATTATCACCCAAAATCTCCGCAGTCCCGATATGCATCAAATCGTAAAAAATAGTAGGTGAGTTCAGATGGGTGAGTCCGAGCTTTGAAATCAATTCGCACCACAAAGTATTTCTAATTTCGTCATTATACCCCCCAGGTATTTTAAGATTTTAAGATTAAGATTAACGATCAAGACTCTCAAGGGCCTTATCGCTAGCTGCATCTCAAATAATGACAACCTATCCTGGTCTATCCTGGCTGCCTGGTCGGTTCAAAATCTACTAAGTATGCACCTTCGTCTCACCTGCCTACCATGTCCCGCATACGAATGCGACATCCGTATCAGCAATAGAGGAAATTACTTAGACTACCTGTTATGTCGAAGCTAGTCTATAGAAGGTTAGGGGATTATTTATAGGATTACGGCAGGGGTGGCAAAGTCGATAATGTAGCTAAGTAGCGACAGGATGTTGCGACAAACGCCTCAGCCGCGCGAGGCATTCCCCGTAGGCTGTGTGGTACAAAGATAAAGTAATCAATGCACCGCGACCCATGCCTTAGCCGCGCAGGATACATCTGATAAGTACTGAAGTATACCCCAGCATCGGATGTACTGGGGTACTTTAGTACTTCAATACTTCGATACATCATGCACTTTGTACCTGCCCAGACAGCTAGATTCAAATTCAATTGGAGACTCCACTGTAAGCGCTTTCTTTTTTCACCGCCTACTCTAAACGGCCCCAATGATTTTCTATCAATAATCACAATCATCAACAATCAATTTTGCCTAGCTAACTGGCATGAGCTGTCTAACCTTGTCGTCTCTAGCTCAATTTAACACATACGACTCAGCTGCCTAAATTATACGAATAGAAAGACGAAAACTTAATGATGATGATTATAATAATACTGCCTCACTAAAAATAATTCTGACCGTCAAATCTCCCCTTAATTCGCTTCTGCCGAGAGGCCTTAGCGACCTTGCTGTTGGTGCTTGGGTGCATCAGCCGGGTGCCTCGGCCGCCTGCCTGCCTTGCCTACTTACATTTTAGGGGCAACAACAACGAAAAACAACGGCAATAACGAGGGAAGAAAAAAAGGAGACAGGAGAGATGACTGCAGATACAAAGTGGAACGCGCGTAGAAGACGTGCTATTCAGTCCGTTTTTCAATCTGACATTTCACAGCCTACACCTCATTCGACCCCATCGTTACGGTTTCCCGATCAGGGCCAGCCGTTTGGGGGCCCTGTGGCTCTGACGACGCCCCAGAAAGGAGGAGCTGATACCCAGCTGTTGTTTGCCTCCCCGGGCGATAATACTCATGCCGAGCAACAGACCCGCTTTGATCGGTCCTGGCACGTGGTCACCTCCCGTATCGCACTCCCGAACTCCGTGACCGTGGAGGATTCTTTCGGGTCGTTGCCGAATTCACAGGATGTCAATGATGGCGCATTCCGAGATGCCCTTCTTGATGTATTGGATCCGGATACGCGTCTTCCACTAGCTACTCATACTGAAGATCTTCTTACTTGGCATGCGCAGCAAGTTCGATGGCATTATGTGAGCCACGTCTTACCGCTTCTTGCTATATGCGATAGCTACCCAGACCAGGAAGAGGTCTTGCTAGGCAGCATACGGACGCTAGAAGCCGCCCAGAGGCAATATGTATATGGTATTTCGCTAATACTTCGAGCCATGAAGGAAGAGGATGCAAAACGCGCTTTCATGAAATTCCGCCGTGACCTGGACGCCATAGTAGGAAATTCCATGTCAAACGCCTTAATGGATGCACTGAAATCGGTCCTCGGCCATTTGATAAATACGGTACTTGGTGTAAGTACAATAGGCCACATATCCAAGCACGGAAAACGGGCGCTCATAAGCACCGACAAAATCGAAAAAGCAAGAAAGAAGTTACACCAAGTTGTAGAGTCCTCATCCGGAGTTGGCCTTGCCGGGGAAAGGTTTCAGATTCTATTTGCGGAGCTTCTTGACCAGACGATGATCGCCTATATTCGAGAGACTTTCTCGGGAGTATGGGAACCTAATGACGAGCTGAAAATGCGAACACGAATGCCGAACCACAATAAAGTACAACCGAAATGTATAAGCGACCTCCAGGATTGGGTCGAGAATCAATATGCAAGACTGGCTGTAGAAGTCACTAGCCGTCTTAGTACTGAACTGGATGTATCCTGGGCGAGCGTGACCAAGTGGAAGGAGATCGCCATTGGACGGCTTGCCGCGCTTCGTATTGATGAGCTATTCGACATCGTTATTGGCTGGCCGGGTAGTGAGGGTGGTATCGATGACCTCCGTTATGCAGTTACGACTCCTCAACGGCGATTACAGCTCACAGATGCGTTCTCGTCGACCTTGCAAAAGCGTCTACTACATACTGGACGCTCTACGTTAGATATACTTCGTACCTACATTGCCATGATCCGGACATTTCACAAATTGGATCACTCTCGGGTACTTTTAGATCGAGTAGCCTACTCGCTTCAAATCTACTTATGCAGTCGAGAAGACACCGTTCGTATCATCGTTACGGGTCTGCTAGCTAGTAAGGATGAAGTGAATACCGAGGCCCGCAAGACGAAACTTGTCGAGCTCGTTGAGTTACTACTACAAGATTCTGACCGGTACCGCAATGAACAGCAGGATGAAGAATGGGATGACCTGGACTGGGTACCTGCTCCCGTGGATGCAGGCTCCAATTACAGGCGGCGGAAATTCGAGGATGTCATTGGTACACTAATAAGTGCGCTAGGCTCGCCTGAAGTGTTTATCAAAGAATTCCAGAGCATCATAGGAGAGCGGCTCCTATCTGAGCAATCTGGGTTTGACCAAGAAGTGGGTGTTCTTGACTTACTCAAGAAGCGTTTCGGGGAATCTTCGTTACAAGCTTGCGATGTGATGATTAAAGATATCCAGGATTCGTCACGGCTTGACGGCGTCATCCATCGCGGGGCGGTTAACCATCCAGAGAAAGTTGACCGAGACTGGACAATCCATGCAAGGATTTTGTCTCGGCTTTACTGGCCCGAAATAGGGGAGGAACGATTCCACTTACCTTCAGATATAACAGAAATGCAAAAGATGTACGAAACTATTTTTGAACGTCTTAAGCCGTCTCGCAAGATTAAATGGCTTAATCACCTCGGGCAAGCCACTGTGGAGCTCGAACTCGAGGATCGGACGATTCTGGAGCGGGTTCATACTTACGAAGCGGCTGTTATCAATGCATTTAGCGAGGAGAATTCTTCTAGCTGGACTTTTGATGATCTGTGGATGAAGCTCGAAATGGACGAAGACCTTCTCACAACCGCACTCGAATTTTGGGGGAAAAAGCACGTGCTCCGCAGAATGCCGGATAATACATACGTCGTCATCGAGCGTCTTTCTGATGCTGAACAACCATCTCACCAAGCGGCGCAAATCTCAAACGCCACGGCTGTCGATATGGCGCCATCCACACCACGCAAAGCCAAACCGGGCATAAGTGAGAAAGAAAAGGAAAAGCGCCAGGTTTACTGGCAATTCATTGTGGGCATGCTGACGAATTCGAGCCCCACTATGCCCCTGGGTCAGATTTCGATGATGATGAAAATGTTGATTGCTGACGGGTTCCCGTGGAGCAACGAAGAGCTACAAGAGTTTCTAGGGGAGAAAATAGCAGACGGAGAGCTGGAAATTGTGGGGGGTAAATATAAGCTCGTCAAGAAGTGAGATACCGCCGAACAAACGGGCGCGCTTATCTCAGACCTAAGCTTCTGTTACACGCGAGGCCTTCTTCGTCTGTGTTTCGTAGTACGTTACGTACATACTAAAGAGACACCTCGGGGACGGATAGCTTACTACTTGCTTGGACGGACGGCCTGCTAGCGTCAGCATGGTTCTGAAACACCCGCTAGGGGCGATCGTTCGTGATTATAATAACCCGCGACGCCCAGTTAGAGCCAGGTCATATCAGTACCCATAGGCAATCAGTTGATCGTGAGGGGAAAAAACGTCAGATGGACCATGGAATATTGACGCCATCGTACTTTTGTTTTCGCCCATCTAGCTAACTTGTCTTGCTGGTCAGCTCGGTTAGTGTGTGTTCGGTGTACATGCGCTAACAAAGCTCTTTGGTGGCGCACGGAGTACCGTCCGAAAAAGTAAATATGATACGATATACTGATAGGCGGCCGATCAGATGAGAGAAGAGGGACGAGAACTTTTGTTTGGTCACACCGGTCGCGGGAAATGCGGGCGCTCGAGCACAGCAGCAGGGCACAGATCAAGGCAAGGCAGGGGTTGCTAGTAGAGAGGTAGTTAATCTTCAAACCTGAACTTCATGTCCCCACGAGCTTATCTCGGTAGGAGTGGAATACCTGCGCGAATCGCGATACGAAGCCACATGCTCTATCTCTCACATCATGATCGGTCGATGAGCAGGATAGCCTTATGCGGGAAAGTGCAAGTAAAAGCGAGAGACAAGCATAGCATAGGACTTTGTTGGAGGTCTAGGTGAAAGGGGTAGAGTAGAATGAATCGTGTGAACAAGTTACATGGCGATTCGGGGGGGATACGATTTTGGTTCATTCAATCAAACCGAACCGGTGGATGGTTCGTTCCGTATTATGGATTGGTTTGTCCCTGAAATAAAGAAAAAAGGTTCTGGCTGATCTGTATGTCTTACTTTTCGAGCGAGACACGTTTTATGGTCCTATGGGTACTTGTGTGTACTGTACATCTCTTACCTTACCTGGTGTTCTTCGTCAGCCCAGAACGCCTAGAAGAGTTAAAAGAGCCTACGTGCATACATACATACTATACCCATGAATTGATAAATGACATTCGTCGCCCTTCCACACCATCTTCGACCGGCTGCGTGGCTGCGGGCTAGTTTGGAAGTGTTACGGACGGACGAACGAACGATTGAAAGTGACTGGGCGCTAAAGTAGGTACATACCTACATCATCATAGTAGCTTCATACATCTTAACTAAAAGGTACTTACATAACTAGTCGTACATTATCTCTGCAGTTCCCGGCGCTATTGGTCGGTTCGCACGTGTCGGGGCTTTTTGTAAGGGGTGGTGGTACTACCGTCAGCAGAATAGATTGTAACCCTACGTAGTATCTAGCTAGCCCTCCCACCTTATAACAATCCATGTAGACGCATTGCATAAACCTATCCTATCCTTGGTACCATACTTTACTTTTGTACAGATTCCCCGCCTAGCCCGTATGTATTATGTAAATCCATGGATAAGTAATCTATGAGTTGATGCAAGGTTTAAGTAAGTACTCACGTAGATGGGGCTCGCGGTTTGCTTCCCGGTTTGGTTTGGCGCGGTAGCACTACCCATACACACACCCATTTCTTTTTGCTTTTCTGGGCTACGAGCCATGTGCGTAGAGGGGTTCGTGTGTGGGCCAATAATTGACAAGAAGATGGGGGGACGGGGGACGGAATTGCGTAGGTTAGGGTGGTACAAATACAATACACATTTATGCTGGCTTGGCTTCACCTAGGTCCCCGTAGGTGGGATGATTAGGTCCGAGGCGTAAGCACGGTGTTTTGAACTTGGGCTGTCGCACAAGAAGCAAGATTCGGAGGATGGTGTGTTCCGGGCCGCGGGAGGACGCAAGGAAACGAAATAAAATGAATTGGTTTCGGCCGAGAGCCTTCTTTTTATGGGATATATTGGCATGGGACGGGATGGATTTGGTGGCGTTTTTTAATGCCCGTTATTAAACATTATGTGAAACGAGAGATTAAGATCATTCGTTGTGTGTAGGTAGGGATGCATATGTTAGTCCGAGCTCGCGCGGAGGTATGTATGTGATTTGACGAAACAGATAGATAGAAAGATAGATAGATAGATGGCAGCACAGACGGAGGAGCAACAACGTGGGCTTCCTGCGGTTCCTTCCCGCCCCCTTCTTTCATGCGCATCGCACATGGCATGGCACATGGTGCGCGCGACAGGCTTTTTTTCGATAGCACGCAATAGGCTAAGTGGGATGTGATGGGATCAATAAGGCCCATAACTCGTTTTCGCTAGTTGGCCAGGGTTTGCGTACTATGTAGCAGTAGTTAGTAAGTAGGTAGAGTCTGAGCGATGGGGGAAGATCCTGCGAAAGAAAGGTGTGTATTAGGATAAGGATAAGGGATTTTAATTGATGAAGGAATCATGCATACAGCATACACACCAATATTTTCTACGTTACCTGGCATACGAGTCTGCCTACGTATTGCTTATTACGCAAGTAGTCGTTCGGGGCCTCCCGCTGCCGTACCGGTTCTTGCTCCGCTCACGCTCGGGAGGAAGGAACGACACGGCGGGATTATGTTTCATATAGCGGGATTCTTGGTATGTCAGGTACGACCAGCAATTACTCATTTGGGGAATTGCTTCTGCAATTGGGTCGTCGAGAAGATGCACAGAGTATGGCCTTAGTCGAATTACTGCTGCCTGCATGCCTTGGGCGTTGTGCGATGGTACCTGGACATGTTACACCCTTGAAGCTATTCATGCGATAGGCTACCAATGCTCAATACTAGGACTATAGGCGGATTCCTGTTGATATAGTGTAACGATGAATCCTATTCCCCTAACGCACGAAAGACATACCGACGTTATTCGCGAGGCGCCCTTTGGCCGTGACTTCCAGGAGGTCCAGTAATTAAATCAAGCAGCACTCATTAAGAATCATAGAACCAGGCGAGACCGCCGAAGCTACGAAAACATAAGGGAGATCCTGCAGAAGGTAGCGCATGGTGGACGCATAATGCCAGGAATTGAGAGTCCAAGCGAAGACTATCCAGGTGATAGTATCTAGATAATAACTAAAACTCCGTGAAGCCTTGCGGGGGAACAAGATGACGCACTAGTTTAATTAGTAGACGAACACCGCCAAGTACTTGTAATATTTGAACATAGAAAACGACGCACACAAACCTACCTAGGCAGCTAACCATAGTCTAATATCAGTACAATAAATCGTATAAAGAGCAACAAGCTGGTGTTTAAGCCTACCGACTCAAGTTAAGGCCGTTCCTAGATTCACGCCCGATTGAAGGACGAGGAGCAGAAAGTATTGCCTAATAACTACCCAGTAAACATAGACAGGCATCGTAATGATGCAATATTAAGCTTAACTGAATCCGAGAAATGTCTAGCTTAGGGACTTCCATCGTATTCTTAACTTGTTCTCAGAGTACTTCGAGAAGCAAATCATATTGCTTGATGATAGAGTCGTTACAACCAACTTATACTCCGAAACTCCGGTGTTTCTACCAGCTCTCATGTGCAGGGAAAATAGTCAACGCCGACGTTTCATTCTCAATACACTCCTAGCAGCACCATGAGCTCAATATAGGGGTGCCAGCAACGGAGGTTTGCGACAATGTAATCCCCCCCCTAGACTTTGACCACTGGAGTATGAAGGGGCCTCTTTCGACTCTCGTCTAGGTGTCCGCTCAGGTATACTACCTCGTAGACACGAGGTAGATATGCGTAGGAGGTACTCGAGGATCAATTTAACTAACATAAAAGGGTGCGAGGGCGTTGATAGATGGGTTTGATCTCGTGGAATTACTGAGGTGCGAGTTCGGTGACTTGGTCGATATACACTATGGTCATTTGCGCTTTTCGTGGGTTAATCCTCCTTCAGCTACACTGTTAAACCTTAAGAAGGACTTTGGCATGGGGTTTAATAACTCACCTATCTGATGCGGTGGATGTGTACCTGGCCAAGGAGTAAAGAACGATAGTAAACTGAGCTCTTCTATTTTCAAGAATGAGGATTAAAAGTATCAGACTAGGAATCATACAGAAGCGGTAGGAGATGGCTATTGAGTATTACCTAGCTACAGACGGCTTTCCTGGACGGCATCGCCTTGTGTGCCCGCTGTGAAGTGATGCTCGTGGTATCCTTTCAGTAGCATGATAATGCAAGAGTGAGCTCTTACCCCTACTTAGTGTGCATGGCCATAAGCCCAGCTAGAGATCTAGCAATGAGAGCACGGGTTCATTTGAGACTCCTCTGTTGGATTGGGGGAGAAAAGACTAGAGTGCCGCGTAACAAGAAATGATAAATCAGAAAAGAAATGAAAACAACAATTCTACTAGGCGTATTCCCTGATGGGCGTGAGAGATCATATTGAGTCGATCCCAGGGTCTGACAGCGCTTCTGAGGAAGAGGGTGGGTTGTTTATGTCTTGCTATGTTTATCGCCGACGACCCATATGGTCTACTTGGAACGGCAAAGTACGCCTGCCCCCCTCTGATCTCCGCTTAGAAGTAGGAAAGACGTTTACGCTACCAGTTCAAGGTCTACTATGGTACTCACTAGTTGGCAGGTCGCTGCTGTAGATGGATTTAAGTATGGTGGCATGTGGTCGCGGGTGTACGTTCAAAATGCTTCACGAATATCGCAAGCGAACGAGGAAGAACTTTGCGAAATCTCTATAGATCTAATAATATTAAGTACGATTACTAGCTAAGAGTTATCTATTATACTCACTCAGGGTAATCTCTTCAATGTCGACGGCGCCAACTTGCTTCGCAATAAGTTTCCGCGCTCGAAATATCTCCCTTGCAGACTTGTCACATAGAGACAAATAGCCAGAGAAGACCTACCAGTAGTAATGTGGCTTCTGCTCGCGGCCTGGACTCGAAATTTTGACGGGGTGTTCGCAACATCAAGCGCGACATCTCTTCATCCAGACTTCGCCCCTAGTTGAAGCTGACATACCTAGGGGAAAAGCGGCATTGTAGTCATTGACACGCTGTGCTTATAATATGCGATAGCTTTATCGCATCAACTACGTGGCCGGATCCACGTGTTGATAGCATTGTCTCAAGCGCGACGGCGACGGTCCCATTTCTATATCAGAGTCATCTGAGCTTGTGAGGGTTGAGTCATCCAGGGCCATTGCCACTTAATCGCAGAGGGACGGGGCTTGACAAGTCCTATTTAAATGAAACCTTATCGGACCATTTTGCTCAAGACCTTCGAATGAAAAACGCGCCACGTGTTCAACCTGTGATGGCTACCTGGGTTGGCGACATTTCGGGCGGTGATCTGGACCAAGGATTCCCCACAATCGCATAGGCTTTAAGCTTGCCTACTCTGGCTCGGATATCACCATTTGCAAGGGAGAATAGCGCTCGAAAAAAAGAGGCACCTTGACACGATTACGATCGTCGCCCGTATCGATGGTGGATTCAGACACGCCTGGCCTAATCCAAGGGTGGAAACCCCATCTCATTTTGTGGTTTCTTTGTGAGCACCAAGGATATATGAGTAAGATACGGCAGCCCCGGGGAAGCTGCCTGTTGATGCGATGTATGTGATAAGCTCAAAACGACGTAGAAACGGCCCAGGCCT